GGAGTGAAAAGAGGTGCTTAACTTTCAGAAAATATTGAGTGAACAGGAGGTAAAACTAAATATTATAATTTAAATTAGTTTTTTAACTCTGTTACCAAAATTTATAGTTTAAAACAATTATTTGTCTGATTTTATAGCATTAAACTAATTAAAATCGCTCTACAACTTGGGTAACAGAGTTAGATAATTGATGAATGCAGTCAACACTACTATATGGCTAAAACAAACTATTTTTTTGATTATTTATTTAAGGCTCCAAATTATGTTTCATCTTGAGTGTCACAATTTTATGTAAAATTGTATCTTTTTTTTCTAACATGGGAATATCATGGGATGTGTGCCTCTTGTGCTTTTAGAAAGTCAGTGTACTGTAAACATGAAAAGTCCCCACTAGCATTTTAACATAGATTGCAGAGATCTGGATCTTTTAATTGCTCTTCAGGGAGCATGAAATGGTTGTGCAGTTCTCAAACCCTGACAGTCTGAGACTTAATATTCCTTATAAGAAAAATAGGAACATAAATGTTTTTACAAATAAAAAAGAGCCTATGAGCTCTATTAATATGAAAGGGTGCACAAAATTTGGGTTTGCAGCCATGTGTCAGTGCGTGCATGTGACTTTAATAAACTTGAAGTATACTACTTTAGGGTAAGGGTACTTCAGTGGCCGCTGTGTTTACTTCCATATGACAGCGCACATCATGGCATCTTGTTATCATTCGTTTGAGCATGCAGGTCAGTTCAGGATCGTGATCAGTTAAAAAAGTACAACCAGTACTGCTTTTATCTTTTTATTCAAAGGTGAAGACCAATAGAACAACTAAAAGAGATGAGAACAACTGAGAGACTGTGGGAGCCAAGATAAAAAATACACCCCAGTAATGTTAAGACGTGGGGTATTTAATCATGACCTAAATCTGTGTAGGTGAATGTTGTAGTCAATTCTTTGTTTTATAAACCATAACTTAAGGAGATACTTATACCATATCACTAACTTTTGACAGAGAGTCAAGGCCAGCTCTTCAAAATAAAATATTTTCCAATATTGTCAGACTTCACTGCCAATCCGTTGCAAATATACCTTGTCTTTTGCTCAGAAGCATTGTATTGATTTTGGTAATGTGAAGTTCACTAATGTGTCTTGAAAAGATCAATCCACTGTTCTTTTCTCACTTCTCCATCACTGACATCCTTTTTTTCTGCTCTCAGGTATCGGACAGGTGTGATTACGTCTACGTGAATGGCAAAGAGATGAGAGGACGGGTCCGAATGCTGCTGAACTTCACGTATGGTTACCTGAGGGCCCAGCTGGAGGTGAAGGTCTGGATTCCCAAACTGCCTCTGCACATCGAAGTTTCAGATACGGAACTCAGTCAGATCAAAGGCTGGAGGATTCCCGTAAACAGTAACGCCCAGAGGTATGAACCTTTGTGTAGGATTCTGCGAATATTGAGTGATTGGTTGATCCACACTGAATCTGCATGCTCAGTGAAAACTCAGCAGAATTCAAACACCTGTCACTCACAAAGTTCTACACATCCCAACCCACGGTCTGCAATCTGTTATGGCCAGGATTCAACCAGGGGCTGTGAATGTACATGAGGTGGTCTGTGGTCTGTGTGCGTGCGTGCGTGCGTGTGTGTGCATGTGTATTGAACAGTGACACCCGCTGGGGGTCTCTAAAACTTTTTATAGCATCAGTGGTTGCATCTGTCTCTGTGATCAGCTCATAAATATTGACAGCTCTATAAACACAGAGGCTGAAAATCCTGAAGTTAGAAACTTAAAAGGGAAAAATTAAGAAAATGCTGCAATGATTGTTTTAAAAAAAATGTGAATATGGCACAGAGAAGGAGATGTCTATCCCTAGCGACCACATGAAACATAATAAGATAATAATCAGATATATGAAGATAAATCACAACAATTTTCAGTGTAAATCCTGAGTATTTTTCAGGATTAAAATAAAAAACATAAAAAGTTCAAACTTTAAAGTGAAAATGCACTAAAATCCTCATATCGATTTGTACTGTGAGCGGTGAAGTGGAGGAATGTGAGAAGCCCCACGCAATCACACAGAAACTTACCAGCAGCTCAGTAAAACATAAAAAAAACTCTCTGTTGTGCAGTCCAGTAGTGCCGTGGAATATAAAATATGAAGCTCTTCATAGATGAAATTTCATGTTCCCAACGGGTTGCTCTGTGTGTACATGTAGCTTTGTGGATTGTGAATCCAGACTCCAGGAGTCTGAGGGAAGCTCTTGAGACATTTACAATAGAGATTAATGGAGAGGTTGAGCAAAGCCAGACGGGAGATCACATACATTGTGCAGTGGCACTCCTTTCCAAACTTCTCTGCTCAACTTTTCAACAACATAAGTGAAGTACCTGACATGAATACTGTTGGCTTGACTTTGAAAAAATATGTTGGCAAAATACCCTGTTAAAAAACCAGCATATGCTGGTTAGGTATGTTTTCAAGCATGGCAGCTGGGTTGAGCTGATTAAGCTGGTCCTGAGCAGGAGCTAGTTGCTTGGGACCAGCTCATGACCAGCTTAAACAATCTCAAACCAGCTGCCATGCTTCAAAACATACCTAAACAGCATATGCTGTTTTTTTCAACAGGGTAGGCAGTCCAGCAGACTGACAGTACTGGGAGGAAGAGCGTGGTGACAGTGATGTGTTATCTGTTTAGTTCTGCAAAATCTCTTATTTAAATGATTTTTGCAGTGCAAGACCCCCAAAGCAGGTAATGGGGGCCTTTGACCCAATGTGGCGGCCCCTTATGACATCACTACTTGTGTACCCTACCTCACGGTTTGCACACACTGGATTATCAGTACACCACGGTACTACTACCAAAGTAACTCATGGTATACTGGTTTGTTAGATTAAGTCTGTGTTTTCATTATAGATCGTTTTGTGATTTATTTACACACTGTAACGCTGTTTGCTGCTAATGAGGTATATATATATGCTCTATATATGTACACAGAATGAATATTGGATGCTAATTGCTTCATACTTCTTTCTTTGTTTTTACATCAATTTGCTTGTTATGCATTTCTGTTTATGTGTGGGTTTCAAGTGTTTGTGCATCTAACTCTACATAAACAACCTTCATTTAAAAGGTCAAGCACCATTAAAGCTGAAGTGTGTATGTTTTTACAGTGGTAAAGATTTTCTCTTAATTTAATTTGCAGAGACAATATGTGCAAAGTAATATGCAGAGTGAACCTATTGTAGGTTGATTTCTATGAAAAGTGTAAAGGGGCGGTCACATCTGCCATTGTTTGACAATCCAGACTGAATGAAATCCAGTCATTTTAATATAATATCACAGCTTTCACAACAGGTTCAAATGGGTCACTGACCAGCAGAAAGCTGCTTGGTTTGAAAGTGACTTGTGTGTAAATGGTGCTTCATACTTTGCTACACTATTGACAATAGACTTTTTTTTTTGTCTACAAAATTTGGCTGAATTTTCGCCCGTGTGACCATACCATAACACTGTGTCTCTATGGTGCTATTTGTTTGATATAGTTATTTGTATAGTTCTGTTTGTTTTGAGCCTCCTGACCATTCTGACACTGTAACAGCTCAACCAATGGTGTGTGTTTGGGGTGGGGCTATATTTTTGATTGACCAATCACTCAATCTCAGAAGAATGTCACAATAGTATAAAATCAAATAATTCTATGTATTACAAGTTTTGAATTTAAATTGTATTATTCATTTTGGTTTTTCTTTTGTTTTTTTGTGCTATAGTTATTAATTATTTTCATTGGCAAACATAGCTATTATTACTGCTCATACTTTATTATTCTCCCACCCAAAATGTTGCTAGTATTACAAATGATTCCACTAATTGGATTCATTTTCTAAGTAATCAGATGATTTGAACATTTAAATGGGTGAAAATATCCCATAGACTTCCATTGAAAACTCATTTCATACCTCACTCATATCTAGAGATCTGAATATCATAGAAACTTAAGAGTGGACCCTTTTAATTTTGAGCAGCAAGCAATTACCTAACACCATAGCAACTGCCCACAACTCCGAAGCAATGCCCTAGAGACCACTCTGAACACCTTAGCAATGAATTAGCAAATACAGAGACAGTTGTTAGGTGACCTCTAACTTCCTGAAGAAAATGTAAAAATGTAGATCTTTTTTTTGCTGTTATCTTCAATGTGTTTTGTGTGTTTGCAATCTACTGTACGTTATGCACTGATTTGAAATCTCTGTTGAAATTAAGGTCAATGTGATCAGTATATAATGATTATTTTTGGACAACACTAGTTAAGTTGGACTTAAATGAGACAAGTGACAAAGCCCTACACCAGCAGGATCTTCATAGATCTGTGTCTCTGGTGGTGGGAGGTTGTCTGTCAGTGTGGCTCGAGTGGACTGTAATGAGGGGCTCGATTGCCGTCCTCCTGACAGCCTCAATCTCAGAGAGCACTAACAAGATGGGCACCTGATGCAATCATATTCTGATTCAGTGACAGAGCCCCAAAGTCCATCCTAATGTCACAGTCTTGTGGCAATAATGCACACTGCTGTGGTGGCAACTTAAGAACCCACTCACTCATGTTGTAGTATTCATTACACTAGTTACTTCAGCAGCACCCACACGCTGCTTGGTGTTACAAGTTCAGTCAAACTTAGATTTCAAAAACAATAATTAAAAATGAGTGATTAAGTTTACACAATTTTTGAAAATTGGGGGTGTAAATGACATGGCTTTTTTTTATGAATATTAATTAGGCCATGCTGACATTACTAGGTAACAGGGTTGGAAACATTTCGCTCAATGTTTAATGGCCTGGTCAATGAATGTCAACTACTTGGAGTCTGAGAAAGAGTTTAAATTGTAAAATGTCCCATTAAGTCACAATTAAACCAATTTTGAACGTCACTGTCTTGTAGTGTAGCCACATTTACCATTGTTTGGTATCATTTTTGCAGGTACATTTCAACCATTCAATATGAATCAATGCAGTTTTTCACACAGATTCACACAAACTTGCTTGGTTTGAAAGTGACTAATGTATGCTAAAACTATATAAAATAATGTACGAATAAGCGAATGAATGGAAGCTCTTAAAAATTATATATTTTTATCAATCATCTTTTTTTGCTTTTATTGTATAGGACATTAGGAGACTGACAGGAAATGTCTGATCCAAAACATTACATGTTATTGTATATCTTGTTCTGATAATGTAATATATAATTTAAAATACATTAGTTAACATATTTTGATAGAAATATGAAAAAAATACTATGGAAGTCAATGGCAAAATATCTTCTTTTGTGTTCAGCAGCAGAAAGAAATTCATACAGGTTTGGAGCAAGATGAGGGTGAGTAAATTATGGAATATGCATTTTTGGGTGAACTATCTCTTTAAAAAAAGTTCAGCCAATGAAGTAGCTTTCATTCCAAGCAGTTTAGGATTCTGCAGGTAAAGAGGTTCTTGCATGGCTCCAGTTTTTAAAAATTACATACTTTTTTAACAGCTGACTAAGTCCGGTTTAGAGCCTCCACCTGGTTTTAGGGGCCCTGGCTAGTGCTAATTGTGTTCTTGTTAGCAAGGTTGTTTTGAGGTATCAGGACATTAAATTTGTTGAATCTTACCCAAATGACTCCAACTGCACATGTACCCTCTAAAACGCATGCTGTTAAATGAAGGACTTCATCGTCAGCACATCACGACTAATTAACCTGCCTCCACTAGCCACGCTCACCTAGTGCTACAGAAAGTCAAGGGCCTCTGTCAGCAGTTTATGAACATGTGTCGGGCGGCCCAGACGCTCATTAGCCAGTGTTAGAGTTGGCTCTCACAGCTGCAGTCCGGTCTACACAGCGCCAAAGTACATTCATCTTTCCTGTGATTATCACAATGTGAACATGTTTAGCAAGGATGAACGAGCATGTTAAAAACGGCAAATTCACCTTACATTTGTTTTACTTGACCCGGAGACATTTTTCATGCAAGAGAGGAGAAAATGTCCATTTTGGCTCATCGTCTGAAAAAGTGGCAGAGGAACGTGTGTGTTTTGCATTCACCACTGATTTCCCTCTCCACACATTCTCATTTATATTTATTGTGGCATAACAGGGATGACCTTGCTGATGTAACCGCATTACGGTTTGGTGCTAGTGGGCACTGATGATCCATTTGTTTACCGCTATATGTGTGTATGAGAGAGAGAATCGCAAGGCTCTTCGTCCTCTGCCAAATGCGTTGCCAGTTGGTCCGTGTAGTGCGAGAGAGAGAGAAACTGACCCGAGAGAGCGTTTTTGTGCTCGTGCCAAGCCTGTAGTGTGTAGAGTGCCAGACTGGCCCGCACTTTACGGACTGGTGTTAACAGTGTTCTCTCAGCACCAGGCAGGCATGATAAAGTCCGACCGCTGGGAATGACTATTCCTGTCTATATCAAGGAATGATGCTGTGTGAGTGGGATATGTGGTGCTGGCTGCTCTCTGGAAAATATTGTTTATTGAATCATCTTCAGACCTCCTGTGTAGGTAAATAACCGAGCTCTGACACTGTGATCTCACTCAGAACAACTGATGGCTGAATCACAAAATGTCACTTGTTAATATCTCTTCCCTTCCCATGAAGCCTTTTTTTGTTTGTTTGTTTGTTTGTTTGTTTTTTTTAAACAGTGGCTCTTTTGAAAGTCCGTGGATGGATTTTCACGTCGTAATAAGGTTGCGCTCATTTTTCTTAAAAGGGGGACAAAGCAGATAAGTGTTTCCGATCATTTTGTTGATGTTCTTGCTCTTGTTCTTGCTACTAGCCAATGAATGTTGACTACCTGGAGCTTGAGAAAAAAATGAATTAATTAAAAAATAAATAAATAAATAAAATACATGTCCCCAAAAAGTATTTGGACCAGAAAGTCATAATTATAGCAGTTTTTGAATGTCACTGCCTTAAAGTACGGTCAAATGTATCATTGTTCGGCACATCAGGGTTATTATCGTTAACTAAAACTAAAACCATAAAAATGTCATTACTTAAAAGAAAATGAACATTAACTGAAATAAAACTTACAATTATTTAATTTGAGCTAGTTTCTCATTTCGTTTAAGTTGAAGTACAAAAATTTTAACTAAATTAACTACAAAAAGTTAATCTGTAATTTAAATAAATGATATAGACATATTACAAAAAAATAATAAAAATGGCAAACACAACACAATTACTAAAACAGAAAATATACAAATTACCATAGATTTAAAAATATA